AAAAGTGCGGTGGTAGCCGCTATGTTGCGAAAAGGGACAACACCGCTTTGCTACTTCGATGAAGCCCACTATTAAAATAACATGAATATACATTAATTAATAAACAAGTAAGCAACATTGGATGTGTTTACTTCAACCAAAATGGTACTATTTGGCAATATTTTCAATATTTATCATTCTTCCACTTAGATTTAGCTTTACAGAATGACAGTGTCTATGAAAGTGATGTATGAAGAGGGAGCGAAGTAAAGATCAGTAAAGGCAACCGGCAGGAACTCCTTCAGCTGTTTTTTACGCCAATATTGTGACATGAGCTTCTTGTCAGTTAGATGTAAAGGCATGGCCTGGGTCTGTCGTCCTGGTGATGATAAATTTTGTCATATCATTCTCAAGGTAGTTTGTGTGGGATCTACTCGACTGCGTGTCGTCGTCTGTAACTTTTTTAATATCGTCAATAAAGAAAAGGACGTGGTAAAAGTAGGGTGAATTTGATTGGGTTAATAACCGGCTGCCGACACAGAATGTCGTCTGTTCGCAGGTTATAATTACAAACCAAACAAAAGAAACACTTATTGCTTCGCTCTTTAAACATATTTCTTAGACACAAAGTGGCTTCCATAGATTGGATTTGCATAAATGTTGACAACATGCTCCTAAAATCGTTCATCATGTTTTTAAGGACACGTTCACGTCTAGCTGTTCGCGAGTTATACAATTAAAACCCAAACCGCAATTCCTTTACGTACCGCAATTTAAAGCAATTTTAACATTTGTTTGGACACAAAGTTTCTTCAAAAGACCATACTTGCATTATAGTTGGCAATATGCTTCTAAAATCGCTCAATATATGCCCCAAAACTGACCGTTGTGTTGCTAATTATGCTCGGCTGTCGTAATATCGTTATTGTGCCAAAAAACAATTTCCCATCCCCCGCGCTTCCGCAAAACAAATTTCATTTCCATAGAAACTACTTAACAAATAATCAAACTGAGACAAACAGATCACTGACACGCTGTAAACATTCAGCTCAAAGGAATTAACATGAAATAATACTTGTCAAGTGCAATTTAACAATTTCTTACAAAATAAATTGATGCTAGTTAGTCAGCTATGGCAAAACTTAAGAAAAAGGAATTGTTTTATTGTAATGGCTCTATTATGCTCTCAATAAGGCACTAGACTGTACTTGATGTGCTTCGCCCACACTATTGACAACTATCATCTTCGAAAGTACGTCGGCATAACTTGTCAACGCCTATTGCATAATTCAACTGCAAAATACGAATAATTCAAAGAGAAGGTACCGTCTTATTTATTCTTTTTACGTTGATATATTCTTTTTTTACCTTATCAATTTAGGCAATTTTGCTTCAGGCATTCCCTGACGCGCTTAGCGGCGTTTTTGGCCGGCTTCCAAATGAAAAAAGTCTTTCAGTCCGTTGAGTTCATAGATCTTATACCCTCTGCTGCCTCTGCCAACTTCAATTTAGAATAATTTGTTCTCGCATGTTCTAAGGCGCCATTTGCAACGTTTCGGCTGCCTCAGACAACCCTTCCCCTCTGCTCCTAGTTATCATGGACGAGCTAAATATTCACTGTTTCAGTAAAAGAGTCGTAAAAATGTGAAGCACGTTGTGCGATTCTCTGCGAGTTGTCTAGGGATCTCAGCGAGGAGACAACTCAAGCCCCGTTAACACCCCGGTTCATACCACGCCTGAGGAATTTGAAAACGCAGCTTTTCGAAAACGCTCTTCACACCGGAGAAATTTGAAAACGCAGCTTTATTTCAACGGTTAGGCCTACCGTCAACAATGAAAACGAAACTTTTCGAAAACGCTCTTCAAACCGGAGGAATTTAAAAACGCCGGCTTTACGTTTTCGTGTGGACGGAAAACATTTTGAAGAAGAAGCTTTTCGAAAACGATCTAGTCACGATAATCCTGTGAATTCACTGTCCGAGGTTTCCTCAAACAGAAATCCAAAATGACCGGTGATTATTGTGTTTTAAATTTCTCCGGCGTAGTGTGGACGGAACACATTTGATGCGTTTTCAGAGCGAAACCTCTTTTTTCTTCATCCGGAGCAGTGCGGACGAGGCCTTAGTGGCTATATGGTAAAACATGGCAAGCGACAAAACTTTTTCTCATACTGAACATTTATGACTCGCCTACCCCGAACCAACCCACAGCGCCCCGAGTGTCAACTTATGTGTTTTTTTTTGCCATTGGTGTTTTTTTGCCATTGATTAAAAGTAAATATTACCTCTGTAAAACCCAGAGACCGGAAGATCGAAAGAAACACGAAGGAAGACGAGTAATGACTCAATTTATGCTTAAGACGGGTTTACACGTGAGCAGGAAGAGGAAGTCGAATTAACGAAGTATTATGGCGAGCAGACAACAATGAATACAGCGTGCAAGTGACGGAGAAGGAACTTTTTATCTAGTATTTCCACTTCCTAAATACAGTCGCATTAAAATATTCCCATACAAGCTCAGGTTTATATTGTCACGCCACGAAAAAGTACAATCGAAACCACTGAATAAAAGAGGACAAGAGTTTGAAATTATTGAAGATTAATAAATAATCAACTTCTCCAATCTCAGGTTTGCGAGACACTCCGTACTCAAGTCATCCGTCACAAATTTTCAACTGGATTTGTGAAGCTCAGCAGTATGAATAGGCCATATTTATGGAAAGCCATAACTTTCTTATGTGGTTGTTTATCATTATTTGGTGTTTTTTCTTCATAATGTGTTGTAGTTACTTCATAACGTCGTGTGGTTTCTTCATTATGTGTTGTAGTTACTCCATTGTGTTTTGTGGTTTCTTCATTATGTGTTGTAATGTAGCTCTCACGTGATGTGTTTTATCATGATGTGGTGTAATAACTTCATTACGTGGTGAGGTTTTATCGTGATGTACTGAGGTTGTTAAGTTATGTCTTGTGCTATTGTCATGATGTAATGTGGTTACGCCGCTGTTATGTTTTCTGGTATCCTCAATATGTGGTTTGATCATTACGTTATGTGGTTTCGTCTTTATGTCTTTGTTACCGGCGACCTTTCGCTCGATAAATAGACTCNACAAGCAACGACAACTTGTCAACTATACTTGACAAGATGCACCTTGGGTATCTTTAATATTGAGAACTTCCAGCGTGAAAAGCTAACTGTCACGTGATCAAATATGTAAGCTATCTTCTGAAGAAATGAACCCTGAACATCATAGGTCCTTCGACGTAGACGGCCTTTCTTCCTATTTTCGACTCCTTTATGATCGACCCTATGAACGCTGTCACGGAGCCTCATCCTCTGAACCTTTATTCCCCGATCTGCCAGTATTTGCTTTAGCAGTCCCTCTCCACAAGAAGGATATTCCCTAGTTATTTCCTCTACAACTTCATCAAGCTGATCTTTTTTTTCTGTGAGCTGCAATTGACTGAGGCCGTAACAACCCATTCTTCGATAAACAGTACTTTCTGAAACAGAAAGTAACGACGCGATGTCCTTAACATTAAAGCCATCCTCCAGGTACCCCTCTAAAACTGACTTAGAAATTAAGTTTCCAGGGGCGCCACAAACTTGTTTTCCTGGTTTCCTTGACGGTGGATTGCTACCGTAGTTTAAACACTCTAACCCAAAGTCGTCACTGCGTTGCGATCGTTCACACCTAAAAGTTCCATTTCTTCGAAGATAGCTTACGTATTTGATCCACAGTTACCTTTTCACGCTGGAAGTTCTCAATAAGATGACCAAGGTGCATCTTATCAAGTATAGTTGACAAAATGTCGTTGCTTATTCCCGCCATTTTGTTGTCTTTAACACCGGGGAAGAGAAGGAACTGGGACCCATCTAAAAACCGGTTTCACCAGTTCGTGATAGCGAGTGAAGCCCGGATACTAGAGCTTGGTATCGGAAGTGAGGCCACGAAGACATAAAGACGAAACCACATCACGTAATGATCAAACCTCATAGCGAAGATACCAGACAACATAACAGCGTAACCACATTACATCATGACAAGAGCACAAAACATAACTTAACAACCTCAATACATCACGATAGAACCACACCACATAATGAAGTTATTACACCACATCATGATAAAACACATCACGTGAGGACTACATTACAGGACATAATGAAGAAACCACACAACATAATGAAGTACTACAACACATAATGAAGAAACCACACCAAATAATGATAAACAACCACATAAGAAAGTTATGGTTTTCCATACATATTTGTGTCTCGAGGAGGAACAACAAATCAAGCGGCAAACATCTGTAACCTTCACATCAACAGTTTATACAAAATACAACGTTTAAACAAGTCTTTCCGTAGACTGCTAAAATCCACTGTTCTTCCCGCGGCCGTCTTGATGTAGAAAGGAAGATTTTAAAAATGCTCTACTCTAAAACCAAAGGATGCTATCGAGCTGAAAGCTTGGGAGAAAATATAAATTTTGAAAGTCTTATAGCCGATGACATTTTTGATTGAAGCATTTGATGACGTCAACAGAAAACAAAGAACTGATCTCACAGATGGAGGGTGGGCTGCCTGTGGCTAAAGTTGCTTCACATTGACGTCAGCATCACATTCATTCCACCAGCCTAGGGCGCTCTCAGCGACTTTCGTACGCTCTCGGTGACTGTCGTGTGTTCTCGGCGACTTTCGTGCGCTCTCGGTGATCCTAGTGTGCTCTCAGTAAATTTGGACTTGTTCAAACTTTACCTTGATAGTCATCGTTCGGCCAACAATGAGCAGCGAGAGGTGAGAAATAAAAATAATTTGTACGGGAGTTTTGTTTCTGTCTTAAGGGGCGTCGCCAAAACGAAAACTCTCGGAAAAATGCTAGCTTTCTTGCTTCACAACCATCGAACTCAGGTTCTAGATGTTCAATAACTGAGGCTGATAACGACAAAGCGAGAGCTGAAATTACCACCAACGGCAGATATAAATGAGACGCCCGGTAAAGAATAAAACGTCTGTGCTCAAAGAAGCGTACGTAAATAATTTAATACGATTATCAATTTATTCATTTTATCTCTTACATCAATAATTGAACTCTGAGAATAACTTTAAGGTTGCTGAAGAATTTGACCTTTTCCTATAATAATTTACATCTCTTAATATTTTCATTCTAATCTCTAAATTATTTTCGTATATTTCTCAAATTATATGAATTTGTATCAACACTTTATCTCAGTGCACTGATTACAAAAAGTTCCAACAACGTCTAACGGACACATTCGCATTGCAATACAGAAATGAAAACTAATTTCTGAACTCATCAACGTTTCATGCACCTATCAAAGGAGCTACGTCACGGTTTGCGCATCTTGAAAAAGTTTAGCCTAAATTTGTCAAGTTCGTCGTTTGTAATCCGTGTCAATCTTCTCCATCCTTAACCGTCCTTGCTCCTTTATGGTTTAATATTATCTCTTGGTTGTTTCACTATCTTAGTAAACTGTTATTTTCAGGTTTCCTTTAATTTAAAGATAATTTTGCACCTGGCTAAAAGAACTCAAAATACTTTAACTGAGCTCCTTTAACCAGTTTCCCCCTGGAGTTGGGGGGGTTGCAAAAAATCTTTGTCGCTACGTGGGGGAAAATCAACACATTGTTGAGCAGAAAGGCGACAACAATAAATGAACATTCTCTCGATGTTCCACTAAATTCTCCGTACTAACTTCACAAGAAATTTTATGACAATTGGTAAAGAGAATTGAGATTCAATCCTACGAATGGATTGCCACCTCCAATATATACAGGCCACTTTCTTTCTGTTGGACAGTTGTTCATATCTGTATGCAATGACACCTTGTACCCCTGCCTAGCCTTTTTCCTCTCTAACATACGGAGGGGACATGGGCAGGAGACTATGTTTCGCCTCGTTCTGGGTTAAACATGCAATATCTGCAATTTCAATTACATTTCACGAACTACCGTATGGGAATAAAATTTACATCATTGCAATAATAAATACTTCACTATACTCTGTACAAATGAAATCTCGGAAAAAATCAATTTTTTTGAATTTAAATTCTTCTGCTAACAAGTATTACCTCTTTATAAAATGATAATTAAATAATTTCATTTATACATCGTACTGTTAAATTCTGCATAATAATTCTCAATGGGCCCAGCTGCATATTGTATGTTGTAAACTGGAAGTTGCTCAAAACTACAATGAAGCATTTAGAAATCACTTCAAGTCAGACTGGAAAGTCTTAGCCTTGAATTTTACAAGTTTCTTCATTCAGTTTTCACTCCATTTATATCTCTGACATCGTTAGCTTGATATTACTAATTCCCACTGGCTCTAGCTCTGTTCTCAAAAAAACAAGTTAACGAATTTCTGGAGATCCTCTTAAATTTGAACTGATGACAAAAAAAGACTGTATTGCAGTCCTTGAGTTTGAGTCTGTTCGGGTCTGACGGTGCGGGTGTAGATGCGTCAAGCAGATCGATCCTTGTGTATCCCGCTCGCATCGAGTATCCTGCTGGCCTCTTCCCGCATGTCCCCGTCGCTTCCCGCGACTAATTTCTGCGAGAGAGGAGACTGTTTTGTTCCGTGACTGTAACCTTTCACACCTCAGCTGTGCACGCAAACCGCGCACATAGTAAATTGCATACTTTATATTTTGCGAGTCTCTTGACTCCTGGTGCTATGTACTGCCGTTTTCGCTTTGGAGTCTGGAGCCCAAAGCTTTTCTCTGTTACAAACCCGGCCAAAAGAGTCCATTTGGTTGAGATTGTGCAGTGGAGCTCTAAACTCCTCTGGGTTTCTGAGTGTATTCCTTAAGGATGACATTATCTATTTATAACTAGAAGTTCCAGCTCATTACTTTCCTAATTTTTTTCTTTTTCTTTGTCTTTTCTTTTGAGATTCCTATACTTCTGTTTGATCGAGTCTCTTCTTCGACGCTTTCCTCCATTTCCTCTCCACCGCTTACGTCTATAAAAGAACAGAAAAACAAAACAAAATGAGTGCAAGGAAAAAAGAAAATACAACATAAAGTTGCGGTACCGGAACTTTCACAAGAATCGGTTTCTACAGCGAGAAAAAATGTCAGCGGAGCAGAAAAACTGTTGTGGAACCTCTTGATGCGGTCCCAACCCCCACCCCATTCCCCCTGCGGCCATTTCACTCTCAACCAGTTCTTTCTCGGCCCCAGCCGCTGTCAGACCCTTTCAGCCGGAACCTGTTCACAGGCTAACGGTCACAGATACAACACGCAGGTAACAGAAAGGTGCCAGTTACATTTTCAAAATTGATTACAAAAGTGAAAATTTATACCGCTAATCAAAAATTGAATTCAAAAAGGCTTATTAAGATGTACCTAAGTCTTCAGGAATACTTCGGTTCTTGGAAGTTTTCTTCTTGTTTTTCTTCCTTGCTTCTGAAAAATAAAACGGCCAGTTGGTTGAAACACATTATTTACAGCTACAAACATTACTTGTAATAGAACTCGACTCCTGACATCCAACTGAGCAATTTACCCTACAAGTAACAGGAACTGTTATTTCGGACCTCCTCACTGTAAGATGGCTCGATACCCTTTGAGAGAAACAATGCCCGTAGCCCAATAAAAATGACAGCTGCTACATTTGGACGAATTTAGAATCACAAGTTTAGTAGAGTTGCTACTACACTGCCGAGAGGGGCAGGTGTTGTATAGAGCAAGGTAGCAAATGTCATCACTGCTTGCAGGCAGGGAGTGAATCTTGCTGCCGAAATAAACCATTTTACAGTTGTCTGCTCAGTGACCTGGTCCCTGAATGGCAGCGAGGCTGGAGGTGACCTTGTTTTGATACAAACCTTACTGCTTTTGTTGTGTAAATCAAGTTGTTCTAACTAGGTGCATTTACATGACAAAAGCAGAGAGGTCTGTATCAAAGCGGGGTCACCTCCAGTCTCGCTACCATTCAAAGGCCAGGTCACCAAGCAGACAACTGTAAATTAATGGTCTCTTCCCGGACAGCGTTGTTTGATTCTCAAGTTACCTATCTGATCCTGTCTGGAGCCCTGAACTTGTGTCACGTGACTCGACTTATCTGAAATGACTGGCAGAATCTGTCCAGCGGTACTTCCCGCGGAGGGACGCTTGTCTTTCACTTTACGGAAAAAGTCTGGCTCTATATTGTCACTAACAAAGAAAAAGCAAGCAAAAAATGAGTCAAAAGCAGGTAACTATAGGAGCCTATTATAGTGTGCTTGTAATGGTTTTCAAAGCTCTTTTTTGTGGGACCGTAAAGGGACAGGTGATAAGAATAAAGATAGTCACCAACTACTACGATATGAACATGTATCTTTGATGTGTCATTAAATTCTCCATGAAAAAAAACAACAAAAACAAAAACAAAAACAAAAACGTCCGGCAATCATTTAGGAAAATACATATCTTGGGCGAAGGGTTATCAAAAGGCTATCAGTATCACAGTTTAAGGCCAGTACCAAGCCAATTTCAACAAATACAAATAACACACGTAGCACATCACAACTTGGAAGTCAAACAATGCAACTGGTGTAGACCGCGGGAGAACCCACGCTAGTCACGTTTTGGTGTTGATCTTGAATACTTAAGAAACATCATGCTTTCTCTGAATGGTTAATAGAGAAAGATTTGAAAACCAATTCTTGATCTCGGGATAAAATTGAAGCCAACACAACAACTTAGCAATCGATTGAAAGCCCCTCAACATGTTGCTTATCTCGGTGAACAGCTGAATAATCTTAGCTTTGCTCGCATATGTAATGCCATGCCAGCCATTGAAAAATCGCTTATACAATCACTCTCTATTCACGACATTTATAGCAATAACACGAGTGAAAACAAACCCAACAGGGGAGAGGGCAAGCGGATCCGTCTTGACTTTGCTTTTCCTTGCCCATTGTTTTCCAGCCTCGTTGCTCTCTGGAGTCCCAGTCTCCCGCGGACTAGATGACGTAGGACTCGTGTGCTGGGTTTTAACATTCAAAGGGACTGGACTCTGCTTAGCTTTAGACACCTTGAGTGGAGCTAACTGAGTGTCCACTGAGGGGGAGGGTGGCTTCACATCCACTGCTTTCACGGGAGTGGGTCGGTAGTTATTCAGTCGTAGTCTCTCTGGCATTGTCTTGGATTTGATTGGTGCCAGGGTGGAGGTTGTAGTACCTGATGGCCGCACAAAGGGTGCTTGATCCTAGAAAAAGAGAACATCTAACTTAAACAATCACTATAGCGTGATCTCCTCCCCGACCCCCTCAACCCTCTCCTGTCAAACGGGATCTCAGTTTATGTCGGCTGTTTCTGATCTTGATATTAGCATAAATTTACCAAAACTGACATTTCACCTAGCACACACAATGGCCACTGCGTCCTTTATGAACTTCAGCAACTACATGCATGACTGGAATACGTTGAGTGATATTAATTTACAGGCATTTATACCACCCTGCAGCGAGAGCTGTCATGTCACCATTTGTCTGCTAATGCTGCACCTGTTGGATTCATCACTTCTTAGCCTGCATAGCAGGTGCTACAGTAATAACAGGGGTTGGGTTGGTGCCGGAGTGAGAACAACCCACGCCCTATTATTACAAGCTAACTTGACTGCCTGGCAATGTCCAGAAAAAAGTCATGGCTCATGTTGAGTTGGGTCAAATCATAAACAAAATTGACCAGTGCATTATAAACTAACGCAGCCTCAGCACAAAAGAAACATACATGTACCTCAAAGCTAAACCTCGGCAGAATGGGTGGTCTGGTCGGGTTGCTGTGGTTAGAATCCTCAGGTGGGACGGGCGAGCCCGGTATGGGGGTAAGAGCCATTTGCGGAGGGTAACGACTGTCTTCCTCACTGCTATAACCAGCAGCATCACTCTCACCATTCATGCTGGGATGGAGAAAATCTAAACAACAGAACACATGAGTTCAAAAACTCACTTGCACAAGAAAGAAAGAAAAATTGAAAGAAATTACCAAATAAATCGATTTGCTCAACGATAGTCACATTCCTCAGGATGTTACATTTAGAACGGAGAGTCTGGACACCTACATACAGCATACATCTAGATAATTCATGAGTGATAGTACCAAAGAGTATCTGCGTGGGAAACTGTCTTTGTACATTTTCAAGTCAAATCCAAATGACCAATTCCTGGTTGTATCAAATCACTAGTAAGTATATAAATATCCTAATAAAATTCTTAACAGGTACATGTACGGTATACATCAGTCATTCAAAGGTACATGTATATGCTAACTTTAATATGACACTGTTGACGTCCCGACTGAAACTTTGTCGATTCATACCAGGAGTCATGATGGAAGGGCGTGTCACAGCAGTGACACTTCTCCTTGAGTGCACTGATACCTCTCAGCTTGTGCAACAAACGTTGTCACTACGACATGCCCTTAATTATATTTGTTCCCATCAAGGTTTTGGTGACCCTAAATACACATGTAACCCTGCAACATGATCCTTTGTGTGTCATGTAACAATGAACCTGTCAGGGTTAACTTGGGGTTTATAGTTTTGGTAAATAAAAAATCCAAGGGTTAAATACACTGTTAGTCTATCAGATTTAACTTTAATGATTCCAGAATTTACTGGTAGTCACATGTGTATGAGTACTCAATTAAATAAAACCTGCACTGTTGGAACACACTGTCTTCCAGTTGTTTGAAATGTCAAAATGCAATGGCAAAGAGTTGTAGACCACATTTGGATAACATTTGGACAATAATAAAACGAAAGCGCGTGCTCTGATTGGTCAATCAGCTATGGTTTATTGTGCCAGTAAACACATGGAAATTTCGCGTGTCTTCTGAATTATCATATAAAAGCAATAGACCACAAGTTTCTATGGTTTAGTAGCATGACAAACCACGCAGGTTTTATCAGCCTATAAACCATAAAAACTTGTGGTCTATTGTCTAAATAACTAATAAAAAACTTCTTGTTTTCTTTCGAATTTTGCATTGTAATGTTAAAAAGCAAAATCCAAAATGGCAGCGTACAGGAACCACAATATCGGTAGTGGCAGTCAGTACGAGAGTGAAACTTGGCCAGGAATTACATGGGTGTGTACATGACAAAATGCAGCTAAATAAAATGATTTATTTAAACTGTACAACAATTTGGCCATGACTTTATCATGATCACTCCGTGCCTGCTATGGCAATTTGATAAAATATTCGGTTACAACAAAAGCTTCTTGGATAATTTCTTAATTTCACTGGTTTTTATTTATTTATTTATTTTTTATTTTTAACAAATGAGGGCAACATTTCCAACACTCTAGAGGCAATGTATGTTTCAACAGTGAAGGTTTCAGATTTTAAAACTAGAGGATGTCATCTTACAGGGTGACGTCGGGGGTGTTATACTGGGCCATGCACTAACATCATGCAGCAATGAAACCATGTCCCCTGTGCAGGAAATATCCTACATATTAGTCGTGACAGAGCATGCAATATCAAGTGGTCCTAATTACATATTTAAGACCAGAAAGAAAACTTAAAATGCTACATTTTTTTAGTTCCATGCAGGAGGATACATTTTGAGTAGTAAGTCACAAATACTATCCATTTGGAAAACAAGTTGCGACAAACTATACTATATAATATATAAGAATCATATATCAAATGACTCGAGTTTGTTTTAAGGAGCAAAAGACAGTTTTAGAAGAGTAACAGATCTAGAAGACTGTTTGGAGTAAATCAAATTGAAATGATATAAATATCATTTGCCACTCCGTCTTTGTATATTATTATAATTATATCAATCTTGATGTTCACTGCAATTTTATTCTTGTAAAAATAAACAGGTATGGAAAGATTTTTCTGAAAACATTTTATAAAATGCAGAGTTGACATGCAACAATTGATGCATTATTTCTATCCTTCAAAATAATATTTACATATATTTTTTTGGCAAATGAGGTAACAATATCATGAAATGAAAGCAATGTCAAGACACAGAAATAGATGCAAACATGTTGATGAAAATACAGTACCTGTAGAGGATCAACTGAAAAAAATGATACAAAAGGTCTTAATTGAACACTTAGAACTTCCACAAAGAGAAATCCATGTTTACAAGNTGTTTGATCGAGTCTCTTCTTCGACGCTTTCCTCCATTTCCTCTCCACCGCTTACGTCTATAAAAGAACAGAAAAACAAAACAAAATGAGTGCAAGGAAAAAAGAAAATACAACATAAAGTTGCGGTACCGGAACTTTCACAAGAATCGGTTTCTACAGCGAGAAAAAATGTCAGCGGAGCAGAAAAACTGTTGTGGAACCTCTTGATGCGGTCCCAACCCCCACCCCATTCCCCCTGCGGCCATTTCACTCTCAACCAGTTCTTTCTCGGCCCCAGCCGCTGTCAGACCCTTTCAGCCGGAACCTGTTCACAGGCTAACGGTCACAGATACAACACGCAGGTAACAGAAAGGTGCCAGTTACATTTTCAAAATTGATTACAAAAGTGAAAATTTATACCGCTAATCAAAAATTGAATTCAAAAAGGCTTATTAAGATGTACCTAAGTCTTCAGGAATACTTCGGTTCTTGGAAGTTTTCTTCTTGTTTTTCTTCCTTGCTTCTGAAAAATAAAACGGCCAGTTGGTTGAAACACATTATTTACAGCTACAAACATTACTTGTAATAGAACTCGACTCCTGACATCCAACTGAGCAATTTACCCTACAAGTAACAGGAACTGTTATTTCGGACCTCCTCACTGTAAGATGGCTCGATACCCTTTGAGAGAAACAATGCCCGTAGCCCAATAAAAATGACAGCTGCTACATTTGGACGAATTTAGAATCACAAGTTTAGTAGAGTTGCTACTACACTGCCGAGAGGGGCAGGTGTTGTATAGAGCAAGGTAGCAAATGTCATCACTGCTTGCAGGCAGGGAGTGAATCTTGCTGCCGAAATAAACCATTTTACAGTTGTCTGCTCAGTGACCTGGTCCCTGAATGGCAGCGAGGCTGGAGGTGACCTTGTTTTGATACAAACCTTACTGCTTTTGTTGTGTAAATCAAGTTGTTCTAACTAGGTGCATTTACATGACAAAAGCAGAGAGGTCTGTATCAAAGCGGGGTCACCTCCAGTCTCGCTACCATTCAAAGGCCAGGTCACCAAGCAGACAACTGTAAATTAATGGTCTCTTCCCGGACAGCGTTGTTTGATTCTCAAGTTACCTATCTGATCCTGTCTGGAGCCCTGAACTTGTGTCACGTGACTCGACTTATCTGAAATGACTGGCAGAATCTGTCCAGCGGTACTTCCCGCGGAGGGACGCTTGTCTTTCACTTTACGGAAAAAGTCTGGCTCTATATTGTCACTAACAAAGAAAAAGCAAGCAAAAAATGAGTCAAAAGCAGGTAACTATAGGAGCCTATTATAGTGTGCTTGTAATGGTTTTCAAAGCTCTTTTTTGTGGGACCGTAAAGGGACAGGTGATAAGAATAAAGATAGTCACCAACTACTACGATATGAACATGTATCTTTGATGTGTCATTAAATTCTCCATGAAAAAAAACAACAAAAACAAAAACAAAAACAAAAACGTCCGGCAATCATTTAGGAAAATACATATCTTGGGCGAAGGGTTATCAAAAGGCTATCAGTATCACAGTTTAAGGCCAGTACCAAGCCAATTTCAACAAATACAAATAACACACGTAGCACATCACAACTTGGAAGTCAAACAATGCAACTGGTGTAGACCGCGGGAGAACCCACGCTAGTCACGTTTTGGTGTTGATCTTGAATACTTAAGAAACATCATGCTTTCTCTGAATGGTTAATAGAGAAAGATTTGAAAACCAATTCTTGATCTCGGGATAAAATTGAAGCCAACACAACAACTTAGCAATCGATTGAAAGCCCCTCAACATGTTGCTTATCTCGGTGAACAGCTGAATAATCTTAGCTTTGCTCGCATATGTAATGCCATGCCAGCCATTGAAAAATCGCTTATACAATCACTCTCTATTCACGACATTTATAGCAATAACACGAGTGAAAACAAACCCAACAGGGGAGAGGGCAAGCGGATCCGTCTTGACTTTGCTTTTCCTTGCCCATTGTTTTCCAGCCTCGTTGCTCTCTGGAGTCCCAGTCTCCCGCGGACTAGATGACGTAGGACTCGTGTGCTGGGTTTTAACATTCAAAGGGACTGGACTCTGCTTAGCTTTAGACACCTTGAGTGGAGCTAACTGAGTGTCCACTGAGGGGGAGGGTGGCTTCACATCCACTGCTTTCACGGGAGTGGGTCGGTAGTTATTCAGTCGTAGTCTCTCTGGCATTGTCTTGGATTTGATTGGTGCCAGGGTGGAGGTTGTAGTACCTGATGGCCGCACAAAGGGTGCTTGATCCTAGAAAAAGAGAACATCTAACTTAAACAATCACTATAGCGTGATCTCCTCCCCGACCCCCTCAACCCTCTCCTGTCAAACGGGATCTCAGTTTATGTCGGCTGTTTCTGATCTTGATATTAGCATAAATTTACCAAAACTGACATTTCACCTAGCACACACAATGGCCACTGCGTCCTTTATGAACTTCAGCAACTACATGCATGACTGGAATACGTTGAGTGATATTAATTTACAGGCATTTATACCACCCTGCAGCGAGAGCTGTCATGTCACCATTTGTCTGCTAATGCTGCACCTGTTGGATTCATCACTTCTTAGCCTGCATAGCAGGTGCTACAGTAATAACAGGGGTTGGGTTGGTGCCGGAGTGAGAACAACCCACGCCCTATTATTACAAGCTAACTTGACTGCCTGGCAATGTCCAGAAAAAAGTCATGGCTCATGTTGAGTTGGGTCAAATCATAAACAAAATTGACCAGTGCATTATAAACTAACGCAGCCTCAGCACAAAAGAAACATACATGTACCTCAAAGCTAAACCTCGGCAGAATGGGTGGTCTGGTCGGGTTGCTGTGGTTAGAATCCTCAGGTGGGACGGGCGAGCCCGGTATGGGGGTAAGAGCCATTTGCGGAGGGTAACGACTGTCTTCCTCACTGCTATAACCAGCAGCATCACTCTCACCATTCATGCTGGGATGGAGAAAATCTAAACAACAGAACACATGAGTTCAAAAACTCACTTGCACAAGAAAGAAAGAAAAATTGAAAGAAATTACCAAATAAATCGATTTGCTCAACGATAGTCACATTCCTCAGGATGTTACATTTAGAACGGAGAGTCTGGACACCTACATACAGCATACATCTAGATAATTCATGAGTGATAGTACCAAAGAGTATCTGCGTGGGAAACTGTCTTTGTACATTTTCAAGTCAAATCCAAATGACCAATTCCTGGTTGTATCAAATCACTAGTAAGTATATAAATATCCTAATAAAATTCTTAACAGGTACATGTACGGTATACATCAGTCATTCAAAGGTACATGTATATGCTAACTTTAATATGACACTGTTGACGTCCCGACTGAAACTTTGTCGATTCATACCAGGAGTCATGATGGAAGGGCGTGTCACAGCAGTGACACTTCTCCTTGAGTGCACTGATACCTCTCAGCTTGTGCAACAAACGTTGTCACTACGACATGCCCTTAATTATATTTGTTCCCATCAAGGTTTTGGTGACCCTAAATACACATGTAACCCTGCAACATGATCCTTTGTGTGTCATGTAACAATGAACCTGTCAGGGTTAACTTGGGGTTTATAGTTTTGGTAAATAAAAAATCCAAGGGTTAAATACACTGTTAGTCTATCAGATTTAACTTTAATGATTCCAGAATTTACTGGTAGTCACATGTGTATGAGTACTCAATTAAATAAAACCTGCACTGTTGGAACACACTGTCTTCCAGTTGTTTGAAATGTCAAAATGCAATGGCAAAGAGTTGTAGACCACATTTGGATAACATTTGGACAATAATAAAACGAAAGCGCGTGCTCTGATTGGTCAATCAGCTATGGTTTATTGTGCCAGTAAACACATGGAAATTTCGCGTGTCTTCTGAATTATCATATAAAAGCAATAGACCACAAGTTTCTATGGTTTAGTAGCATGACAAACCACGCAGGTTTTATCAGCCTATAAACCATAAAAACTTGTGGTCTATTGTCTAAATAACTAATAAAAAACTTCTTGTTTTCTTTCGAATTTTGCATTGTAATGTTAAAAAGCAAAATCCAAAATGGCAGCGTACAGGAACCACAATATCGGTAGTGGCAGTCAGTACGAGAGTGAAACTTGGCCAGGAATTACATGGGTGTGTACATGACAAAATGCAGCTAAATAAAATGATTTATTTAAACTGTACAACAATTTGGCCATGACTTTATCATGATCACTCCGTGCCTGCTATGGCAATTTGATAAAATATTCGGTTACAACAAAAGCTTCTTGGATAATTTCTTAATTTCACTGGTTTTTATTTATTTATTTATTTTTTATTTTTAACAAATGAGGGCAACATTTCCAACACTCTAGAGGCAATGTATGTTTCAACAGTGAAGGTTTCAGATTTTAAAACTAGAGGATGTCATCTTACAGGGTGACGTCGGGGGTGTTATACTGGGCCATGCACTAACATCATGCAGCAATGAAACCATGTCCCCTGTGCAGGAAATATCCTACATATTAGTCGTGACAGAGCATGCAATATCAAGTGGTCCTAATTACATATTTAAGACCAGAAAGAAAACTTAAAATGCTACATTTTTTTAGTTCCATGCAGGAGGATACATTTTGAGTAGTAAGTCACAAATACTATCCATTTGGAAAACAAGTTGCGACAAACTATACTATATAATATATAAGAATCATATATCAAATGACTCGAGTTTGTTTTAAGGAGCAAAAGACAGTTTTAGAAGAGTAACAGATCTAGAAGACTGTTTGGAGTAAATCAAATTGAAATGATATAAATATCATTTGCCACTCCGTCTTTGTATATTATTATAATTATATCAATCTTGATGTTCACTGCAATTTTATTCTTGTAAAAATAAACAGGTATGGAAAGATTTTTCTGAAAACATTTTATAAAATGCAGAGTTGACATGCAACAATTGATGCATTATTTCTATCCTTCAAAATAATATTTACATATATTTTTTTGGCAAATGAGGTAACAATATCATGAAATGAAAGCAATGTCAAGACACAGAAATAGATGCAAACATGTTGATGAAAATACAGTACCTGTAGAGGATCAACTGAAAAAAATGATACAAAAGGTCTTAATTGAACACTTAGAACTTCCACAAAGAGAAATCCATGTTTACAAGCAGAATCTATATTTTGATCTTGCTATTGAAAGGATTTTAGGTTAAATTTTGTGACCAAGGATTCAAAGAACATCAAGGAACAAAAGGTGTCCAACCTGCTTCAGTTGACCCATCATCCTGAACGTTCATCTCAACAAGAACCTGCACAGTCGCAGTGTTGTTACCAAGTATCTCCTGCACCTCTGAATCACCAAGATCTGCCGCAAGCTGTGGGTGGTAACCATTTGTTATTCTAGTGCCATGGATGCGATCAAACAATTGCACACCATCAGAGCCATGCTGACTATTGTCGGGAACAGCAAGATTCTCTACGGGAGATTCTGCAAAATCAATACACACAAAAGAGACATTTTTTTTACACACAATAAAGCCATAAAAGAGCAAGGAACACACTACATGGTTTTACTTGGAAATCTAGCTTACAGGCAAATGTTAACACTACTACATTATTGTATCTGCTTGTAAAAAGTGTATTTTTAGTAGCCTGACATCACACAGCTGACCAAACAATACAACACACATACATACACGTGAAAGTATCTTCCCTGCAAAGAATGTAATCCTGCAACACTCAGGAGGTTCTACACATTTGCAATGTACTGCACACATGTAGTTACATGTATGAGGTTATATTTATATCATGTGTGTGGGAAAAATTGAGTGTTTTCTATCCATCACCTTAGATTTTAACAAAAAGATTCTCTGATCTGCATCCACACAGAAAAAAATCAATGTTTTTGACATTTTACAAAGCCTTATAATGCTATTATAATAACAGCCATTCAAATCTCTACTTGAAATTACTTTAACCTTGACATGTATACAGGTATATATTTTTGATCACATCTGCCACCAAATCAAAATTTGGAACATGGTATACTTCTTGTTACAGACGAAACTGCCTCAGGCTTTATTTAACAGCACAAAAAAAAATTAATATTTTATACAATGTATACATGTATGTGAAATTATATAATTGATACAGTTGTGTAAAACTTACAGAAACCCGTGGTATTTTCCAAAAAGTAAGCTCACACCAAAATTTTCTGTAAACATTATAATTTTAAACATCGTGTGGGCTTGAAATTGAAAGAAATAGAAGACTATTTTGGCAAAAACAAGTCATAGGAACCGAAAAGAGATTAAGCACATGAAACTAATTATGAAAATATTGCAGCTTCCCAGTGCAATGAAACGCAAATCATGCCCCCTACTAAACTCATTAAAACTAAAATTTACCGCAACAGTTTGCTATTTTTTTTCCTCCAAAAAAAAAAATTGACTTAGCTAGGAGCCATCTGCATGAAGGTGTAGGAGAAAACGTAAACATAAAACCAGAACAAGCCTTGTTCTGTGAACTTATGTTAGAAAAGCTCTAACATAGATGTACGTACACTGTACATGATCATCTGCAGTAAGAGCTTATTTGTGGCTGGCACAGACATCGCGGGTCTTTAATGACAAGTGATTCCAAATATAGGTCTACCTGCTAGTTGACACGAGATCATGAAAAGCAATCACTTGCAATACTTACAATCTGACATAAGAAAATGAATCCGCTGAAGATGATATGTGCCTACTGATCAAGCTCTTAAGACACAGACCCAATAAAAAATTAACAGAATGGATAACGTTTCCAGTTTCACATACACACGTACAAAGAACACAAGAGTAGATGTACTTGTTCACTCAATCATCTTGAAAGACAAACTGACCACCAAAACAACAAGGCCTTTTTTTAATTTGACACAAGCTGAGTGTAATTAATAATGTGTCTACTCTTGAAAAATAAAATGCAAATTTCATACCATATTGAATTTCAGTAGACAAAACTCAAACAACACAGCTAAATTGATAACAGCCATATGCATGTTCAGTGTTTTTAAAAAGAAATAAAAGATAACAACAAAACAAAATCCGCTAAAATCTGAAAGGTCTTACCCATTGTCAGTAATATTTTTGAAGCAGTAGAGACAATCTGTGATATTATTCTCCAAACCAATGTACACCGAATGTTTAAGCCATAAATTCAGTGACACAATATTAACAATTCTTTTGGGGTATTAAACTGACAGTAATTTGTTGTTGGGCAGGTGTTCATTTGCATATTTTAAATCAAACAGAGAAACTGGAAAAAAAATAGGCCAAAAAAAAAGGCGAGAAGAAACGAAACATTTTAGTTATTCAGTCACTCAACGTATACATGTACCTCTTCAGGTCAAGTAACTAAAATTCATCCAAAACCTGCATTGATCGAGAGTTCAATTCTTTACTGAAATCTATTGCACGTGTACATAAACGTAGCAAGTGTTGTTAGCAATTATAATTTGTTATCTGTTAACCATTTCACTTTTACAGTCAATTTCCTCAACTCACCAAATGTGGTTCTAATTTTATGGCCTATAAAAAATAAAATGCTTTTTAAAGCTAGTGTAGGACAAAGAAAATAAAAGCCATGGACATGTTTTATTGCGTTAATAATTTAACTATTAAATAATAATATCATAGTTGTACATGTACACGTACATTGGTTCTAACACTGAATCCTGCAGATGTTAAAATGCACCATACATGCTAGACCATTGAAATAAAAAAATAACATGTTCATGCATGCTGCTAATATTCAATTTTCATGTCTTACAAATTAGAATCTGGCAATTTGAAAGTGTTAAATTTCCTTTGATGATTGAGTGCAAAGAAGAGGGTCACAACCACATATACATTACGGGTATCTTTAATTATTATTTCTTTTTAATAATAGACCTGAATGTGTCCTCACATTTAGAGGGATGGTAAATGGTAAGTGCAAGACTTTGCAAGGAGGCGAGACTAATAGTGTTTTTCTTTACCAGCCCAGACATTTTGACTTCTTCAGTTATGTGACTGAGATTTCAAAGCGTTAAAATCTGACTACAAGACATTCAGACTCAAAAACATTTATAAATCATGTAAAAGAAAAACAAAAAAATAAAGACCTCGGGACTTTCTTGGCCTTGCAAAAAATTTGAGACTCCGAGACAGCCTAGTGAAAATAGCAAAGCATAAGAAGCACAAAACCACTAAAAATGAGACTGCAAGACCCATGAAATTCTACGATAATTCTGCCAGATCCATGGTTTCTGAAGGAAAATTCACCACCACTACATGTATTTACATTATTTTAAAAACACATGAACCTAAAATGAACAAGCACAGTACGTACTAGTATTATTGTGTTTGAAATAAACCACTGTGTTTGATGTCAGACCAAGGAACAGAGCAATACTTCAAATATTATTGTTCACCTGACAGAAATTCAAAGTATATTCTCAAATGCCTATCACCAATAACTAAGTGATTAAACGGGTACAGGAAACTTTGANCTAGGAATTCTTAGGAATTCCTAGGAATTTTTTCCTAGGAATTCTTAGGAAATTCCTAGGAATTCCTAGGAATTCTTAAAGTTATCTCACAAGGGAAGGTCTCTGAGCAATGCAGTACTTAGCCACTTTAACTTTTTCTAACTGAAGATATACATGTAAATGTATATTTACATGACTATTGTACAAAGAGTAACTCACTACTTTGCAGTTTCTATGGCGAGGAAGAGCAGTCCCTCAGACATCTAAAATTAGTGTTTATTTAGCACATGATCTGGCATAAATTGATTTTGTGAATAATTTTTAAAAGCAATTATTTACTGAAGTGGAGGTGAATAGTGGTGGATATTTACTGAGCCAAAAATAAAGTGGTTAGGTACATATCCACCACTTTCACTGACACTGAGGTGAATAATTGTTTTGAATTATAAGTACAAGCTGAATAACTAGCAGACCAAAAGATTTGAAATTCCTCTCAAGTTACAAAGGCTAAATGGAAAACTATTCACCTGATGTGTGTGGTGCAAATTAGCTTAGAACTACAGTTCTGTATTTTTGTATACAAGGTCAAATATATGTAAATGTACAGTCATTAATTTAATGAAACCAGAAGTTGTTACATTTCTTGGAACACAAGTTTTGTAAATCATGTAACTCACAACCCTCAGATACATGTACTGTACATGTAGGTACAGTATTAAGTGGCTTCTTTATCAATGTAAATGTAGAGCTAATAATTCACCTCCCACTCATCTGGCAGCTACCAATAAGCCAAACTTAAGTACAAGACAGTACAAGTGCAAATAATTTAAGGAAAAAAACAGTGCAAAAACAAACAATAAGCCATTTAACAAAATAACATGTACATTGTATACGAAATGAGCAAGATTTAAGCAATAAAGTACTTTTTCCATGTTTACATAGCCACCTCATCTACACACGAGGAGGGTTCAGAAAATTTGAGACAGTTGTGCAAGCCCAAGATGCAGTCGAGGATTTGCATAACTTTTGAGAACAATTATTCTCCACCC